AAAAAAAAAGAAAAGAAAACATGATACCTCATATAATCCTCAAAGCCCTATAAGGCATCTAGACATTCCCATTGTATTGGATGCAGAATCCAGCATTAAAAGGTCAGGCTACAGCAGCACCTGTGGCTCAGTGAGTAAGGCGTTGGCCCCATATACTGAGGGTGGTGAGTTCAAACCCAACCTTGGCCAAACTGCAACAACAAAAATAGCTGGGCATTGTGGTAGGTGCCTGTACTCCCAGCTACCTGGGAGGCTGAGGCAGGAGAATCACCTAAGCCCAGGAGTTGGAGGTTGCTCTGAGCTGTGACGCCACAGCATTCTACAGAGGGCAATAAAGTGAGACTCTGTCTCTAAAAAAAAAAACATAAAATAAAAAATAAAACGCCAGGCTGTTAAGGTCAAGCAACTGGTCAGCTGCAAAGCCAGATTTCACCCCCAGCCGTGGGCTTTTTCTTTTCTTTTTTTTTGAGACAGAGTGTCACTTTCTTGCCCCCAGTACAGTGCAGTGGCATCATAGCTCATGGCAACTTCAAACTCTTGGGCTCAAGTGATCCCTTTGCTTCAACCTACCAAGTAGCTGGGACTATAGGTGCTCACTATAATGCCTGGCTATGTTTTAAGAGAAAAGGTCTCACATTTGCTCAGGCTAGTCTTGAACTCATGATCTCAAGCAATCTACCTGCCTCAGCCTTCCAGAGTGCTAGGATTACAGACGTGAGCCACCTCGCCGGGCCAGCTATGGGTTTTGGTTTCTACATCCTGCACTCTTCCTCACTAGGCTGTGCCTTGTAGTGGAAAGAAAGAGGACCTTGAGGGTGAGAGTGTGACTTTGGGGGCCCCCTGCCTATGCCTTGTCCCCTAGACTTACCATCCAGCTGCGTCTGGCTGTGGTGCTCCTGGCCAAAGGGCCCGTAGCCAGCCTCAGAGCGTGCCCGCACTTGGACCAGGTAGCTGGCTCCTCGCTTCAGACCCCGAAGCTCCGCCCGGTTTTCTGATGTCTTCAGAAACCGCACACTGCTGGGGCCCTCGGTGCCCTGTCCAGGAGGAGGGGGCTGCCTGTCACCTGGGCCTCCAGTATCTGCTGCTCCTCCAGCTTCCTCCACCCCTGTGCCCCCATCACTCAGTTTTGTTGTGTGGCAGTGACAAGTGAGGCCTTTGGGCTCACCTCTGCATGCACTGGGGGGCCTGCTTTGCATTCATCTTATCATCTACTCCTTGCAGCAGTTTTGTGCTGAGACTGTTCTCACAGCTATTCTATAGCTCAGGAGACTGAAGCTCAGGGCAGCCAAGGTCACATTGCTAATATGTGGCAGAGCTGGAATTCACATGCAGCCAGGTGCCTGCAGTTCAGGTCTTCCAGCCCCACCCCCAGTCCAGAGCCTGCTCTTACCTTCTCATGGTACTTGACCTCATAGTCCAGCACAGTGCCACTGGGTGCCCGGGGAACAGCCCAGGCCAGGCTCAAGCTGCTGGGTGATGACCGTGTCACCCGGATGTCAGACACTGCAGGGGGCACTGGAGACAGAGACACATAGATCCTTTTGCATGACAGGTCTTTCTCTTTCCAACTCTTCCTCTGTCAGCTACATGTGTCTTCCCTGGTATTTTGGAAACTCTTGATCCTCCCCACCTGGCCCTGTCCAGGCCTGCTTCTGCATCACTGTCACTTTTTCTGCCTCCTGCTCCACAAGCCTTGATCCTCCATGTTTCCTGGGAATCCCACTCCTCAGCCCCATCCCTCCTGGTCAGGCCCCCAGCCCAACCACATTACTTGCTGGCCCCCAGTCTCACCCTCTCTGTCGGTAGTGACATTGACAGCCTCAAACGGGACAGGCCCCGTGGCTAATGAGGACACCCCATTCAAGGCAGTGACCTCAAAGGTATAGGTGAAGTCAGGACGCAGCCCTCGAACTGCCACCCAGGGCTCCACCAGGTCTCGGGGGCCAGGGTCAAAGGTCAGGTCTCCACCGCAGGCTGTGCAGGCGCCCCCGGGGCGGCACTCTCGGCATCGGAGTGCGTAAGTGAGGTCATCTCGGCCGCCAGACTCAAGGGGGGCACTCCACTCCAGGTGCAGGGAAGAGCCATTCAGGCGGGAAACCACGCTTCGTGGAGCAGAGGGAGGGGCTGTGGGAGACCCAGGAGTCAGGCAGAGGCTGATCTGAGCTTCGGGGTAGGGAGGGGGCAGCAAAGGAATAGCAAGCCATGCCAACCTCCTGCCTTGGAGGGGGCTTGTTTCACCTACTCCTCCAGGCTGGGGACTAGCGTGCCAGGGTCAACAACAAGAATGGGATAACAGTGGCTGTGGTAGGGTCTACCTCAGGGGTCTGCATTCCCTCCCTGATGAACTGCACTTGGCTGCCAGTCACTTACTGGTGCAAGGTGCACCCCGGGGGTCCATGGGGGCCCGGAAGTACCCAATGCGGCATTGGCAGACAGGTGATCCAATGGTGTTAGAATGGCTATTGGCTGGGCAGGGCTGGCAGGACCCCTCTCCTGACAGAGGCTTGAAAGTGCTCTGGGCACAAGCTAAGAGAGAGAGAGAGATTTTTCATCAAAAGAATATATCAAAATATCCAGCTGCTTTTAAGGTTGCCCAAAGTGCTAGGGAAGGAGAATGGAAGAAGGATGTCAGAACCCTCACCACTAAGGAGAGAAAGGAGACTGTCCCTCCAGAGCAGGGGGCCTAACCTTTTTTGACCCTAACTTTGGCAGTCTGGTGAAACCTACAGATCCCTGCACACCACAAAATTGGATTGTAAAGGAAACAAAGTAAGTTGAAATGATCAAAACATTAAGAAAACAAGTTCATGATATAGCAATATCAAGACATAGGAGCAAGTCTTGTAATCTCTGTAATGCTGAAGCCATGATAAGCAAAAACAATATTTCAAGATTCTTACAGCACCTGGAATGGGCTGTAGACACCCATGATTTGGTGAGTGCCCAGCTCTCAGGTCCTGCCGTGACCCCTGAGGGGTTGCTGACATTCCATGTGGTAGAATTTCAGATGGAGAGTTGTGAAAATAAAGTCATATTTTCCTCCACCAAAGCTCAAGGATTCCCTACACTCCATCTATAAAACCCAGGTTGAGAAACCCTGCTCTAGAGAAAAGCAAAGTGAGAATTCATTATCAGTAAATTAGAGGCCATATTGAACAAGAACAGAGATCATGATGGCTATATCCTGAGCTCAACAAGGACCCTTCCCCAGGATAGTCCTGTATCTCAGGCCAGCCTTCCATACCCTGGAAGAAGAGGAGCATTAGAGAGAAGCCTGGAGCAAGAGTGCCCAGGAGAGTAAAGCACGTTCAAAACAAAAACTTAAGAAGTGGGTCTGGCTCGGCGCCTATAGCTCAACCTGCTAAGGTGCCAGCCACGTACACCTAAGGTGGCGGGTTCGAATCCCCAGCCCGGACCCGCCAAACAACAATGATGGCTGCAACCAAAAAATAGCGGCCAGGCGTAGTGGTGGGCGCCTGTGGTCCCAGCTACTTGGGAGGCGGAGGCAGGAGACTCGCTTGAGCCCAGGAGTTGGAGGTTGCTGTGAGCTGTAATGCCACGACACTCTACCCAGGGGGACAGCTTGAGGCTCTGTCTCAAAAAAAAAGAAGTGGGTCTAAGGCTTGGCGCTGTAACACAGTGGTTACAGCGCCGGCCACGTGAGCTGAGGCTGGCAGGTTTGAACCCAGCTCGGGCCAGCTAAACAACAGTGACAACTGCAACAAAAAAATAGCCGGACGTTGTGGTGGGCACCTGTAGTCCCAGCTACTTAGGAGGCTGAGGCAAGAGAATTGCTTAAGCCCAAGAGTTTGAGGTTGCTATGAGCTGTGATGCCACGGCACTCTATCAAGGGCAACACAGTGAGACTTTGTCTCAGGACAAAAAAAAAAACAAAACAGAAGTGGGTCTAAGAGTGGGGAGTGGAATCCCCCCCCCCCCACTGCCCCAGACAGGTGGGTTTTGTGGGGGAAGCCCTTACCTCGGCACTTGGTGTTCCCCTCGGCAGCCTCAAACCCTGGAGCACAGCTGCAACCTGTGACTGGCTGCTCAGCCCACTGGCCGTCCTCCCTACAGTATAGGCTGGTGCCAGGGCCAGGGCTAGGGATGGCATCAGCCACACAGCTCCCTGCCACAGGCACCACCAGCTCCCGAGGCACGGTCTCCGGGAAGCGGGTTAGGTTCACAGTCAGCTGGGGGCATTTCTTGTAGAAGAGGTGAAGGGACAGCAAGGCCATGCAGGCACCCTGGTCCTGGAAGGCCAGGTAGAAGCCAGCTTTGCTGAGTGGTCCCAGACGAAGTGTCTTAACGTTCACCTTCCCTGTGGCCTCAGCCCCAGGGCGCTTCCGGGTCAAATGCTCAGCAGCCACTGTGTCCACCTGTGCATGGGGGTGGGTGGGGAGGAGATGTACTGCTGCTGTCCCCACTCCCCCTAAGGACCCAGGGACTATCTGCTTTCCAGCTCACCCTTCCTGACTGACTGGGTTCGTATTCTAGAACCTTCTCTCCACCTTCCACAGTTCACACTTTCCTGGAGGCCCTAACATCACCCATTCAGCCTTGCTAGCTAGCACCATGTGTCCAGTCTCTGTCTGGCACCCCTTCTCCATTATATAAATATTAACCAACACCTATACCACACCAGGCCCTAATCCCAGAGCCAAGGAGACAGAAACAAATGACTCCCATAAAAGTATATTATTAAGCATAACAGGGGCTGGGACAGGCATGTGGACAATGTGAGATTCTATGACAGACAGAATCAGCTAAGGCAGCACAGGCAAGACCCTGGGTTGGAACTTGGAAGACAGGTAGGGGTTGGGAGAGGGGCTGAGGCATCAGCTGACACACAGCCTGGGACTGTGAAGGGGCCAGGTGTAGTTAGAGAACAGGAGAGGCACAGTGTGGCTGAGGTGTCTGCAGAGGCAGCCTGAGGCCTGGGTCTCTTTGGGGTACTCTACTCTACTGCTCTACCTTGGAGACTACCTTCTTCCATCCCCAGACTTAAGTCCCCTGCATCCCTTCCAAAGGCCTGCTCATTGGGCCCCCACTGTGGCTATGGCCAATCCCAGATGTCTGGGTACCTTGATATAGGGGTTCTCCATCCAGGCTGGTGTGAGGGCTGTGGCTGTGTCGGCATCACTCTCATAATAGAAGACGGTGAAGGTCTCCTTGCAGGAGCGTCCAGCCCGTGGCAAGGACAGGCACTCAAGCATGGTGAAGCGCAGAGTGGCATACACGTGGACGGCTCCACGCCGAGGGACCCAGCCAGTCCGCAGCCAGTGGGCCAGGCCTGGAGCTCGTTGCACGTCACACACCTCATAGGTGCGCACACTGTGCTGCTCCTCATCCAGGCCACTCAGCTCTTCCCACTGCAGGGAGAGGGAGCTCAGCCTGGGGCTGCAAGGGAGGGTCCACCTGAGGTGTTTCCCATGGAGTTAGGAGGAACTAAGGGAAACGCTGCTGGCCTGACCCTAAGAGCAAGGGCTTAGAGGAACACCTGCTTGGGCTGCTGCCATCTGGAGGGGCACAGGAAACAGGCAGAGCCAATACCCCTCCCCCTTCCTCCCTCAGTTTCCCTCCAGAGCTCCAGCTCCTGGGCACAGTTCTTACCTGCCCCTCCACCTGGGGGAATGTCACCCACTTCAGATCAGCAGTTTCCAGTTTTGTGTTCAGTAGGGTCTCTGAGAGAGACAGAGACAAAGTCAACACTTGGCACAAGGAGGGGTCCAAAGGACCAGATCCCGGGGAACTGAGACACGTGGATCCTCTTAGCTCCAAGTTAGAGTGAAGAGGCAAGCCTTGACTTTTGCAGCCCCCTTTGACTTGCCACCTCTTTTTCTGAATGCCAACACCTACCCCAACAGCTGGAAGGCCCCTGCCACCCCTTAGGATGCCCCCAGATCTAGGCCTCCCTGAAGGGAGGGAAGGGTTAGAAAGGGTTAAAATAAGAGCCCTGGTTTAGTCCTGACCAGCATGCAGCACGTGGGCAAAGGGCTGCTGGCAGGAGACACACCTCTAGGGCCTGTCTCAGACTCCACATTCACTCCCTTGTCTACCCCCAACTCCACTCCAGGACAAGTCCCCACCCCTTCTTCAGACTGAACCCCTAATCCTCCTTCCTCTAAGATGGTGCTCTGCAACTGAGGCCCAGCCTGTCCCCTCCCCTGAATCAGTCCCAGCCAGTCTTCAAGGAAGTGCTGGAGGCCAGGACGCTTGGGTTCCCCCGTGGGCCCTGCAGAGGCCTCACATCTGGATTTGGTTACAGGAAGGCAAGGGAGGGAGATGGCGGTGGTGGTGATGAACACACCTGGCTTGGCTCTGTATCATGGGGGAAGGGACAGGCACTGAGGAAAGGGGGGGAATTAGGAAAAACCACACAGCCTCTGGTAGGGGAGGGTGGTGAGAAGGTGGAGGGATCCCCTGGAAGGTGGCAGGCAGAAGGCCTGCCTGGGAAGAGCAGAGATGGAGCTCCCAGGGAGCCATCAGCACACCTGGGACCAGATACCCCCTACCCCATGGGGGCTGTGGGAGAGAGGGAAAGGGTGGATGGGTGGTGGAACTTCTCCCAAGGACCAAGTGATGTCCAGGGGGCAGGGAGCAGGTGGGAACAGGGCAGCCTGAGGTGAAGCCCTGGGCTCCCATGGGTGGCAAGAGACAACCCAGCACTGGGGACAGGATGCCCGGGTTCTGAGGAGGGGGGGAAAGAGGTTGCAGTCTCCACCCTCCATTGTTCCAGCCAGGATAGTGTTTTCCTGTCTCCAATTTACACACTGTCTCTGCCTCAGGGCTGTCCTCAGCTGAGCACTGGCTCACTTTCTCTCACCCTATCTGGGGATCCTGCCTCCAGCTTGCTTTGATCTGTCAGTTCACTGTATCTCTCACCTCTCTCCCCCACTCTGTCCACCACCGTTTCTCCTTCTGCCTCTATCTTTTCTTCCTTTTCGGTCTGCCACCTTTCACCTTCTCTGGGGCTTTGGATAAATTACTTAATGTTTCTAATCCTCCATCTCTTCGTCTGTACAATGGGGCAGTAACACCTCCCACCCACCCCCAGCATTGTTGGAGGGTTGAAAATAGCATTTGTGAAGAACTCTTAGCATAGGCCTGGTGCTTGGAAGTCTCTCTCAGGCATGGGACACTGAATAACCATTTCTTCTTTTTGTCCATCCTTCTCTCTCATCACACTTCGTTCTGGGGTTTTCTGCCCGTTTCTCTTCCTCTTCCCCTGAACCATGGTCCTTTCTCCCTTCTCCTTTCTCTGAGCCAGGCAAGGCACCCCCCCCCCCTACACCTCGCCTTTGATCCCTAGCCCAGAGCAGACCTGCTCTGCCAGGAGAGAGGGGTTTCCCAACTAACCCACTTTGATTCTTCCCCTTAGGAGCCCCCCAATGGCCCACTCCCCAGAGACCCCTTTGATAATAGGTAGTGAAGGGGGGTCAGCTCTTTGAAAGGAGATTAGAGACATGGGACGATGTTTATAGGACTCTTGGCTTCCCCTTTTAGAGATAGAGGAGGAAGAAGACTCATGGATGAAGAAACACTGGGAAAGGAATATAGAAAAATAGACCATTTGGAGAGACGAGGAGGTGGCAGTTGGTCTGAGTTAGGGCGACCGGGCTGTGTAGGTCAGTTTCTGCTGGCTGCACAGACTGAAGTCCTACTCAGGCAGGGTCAGGGTCTAGACGGCATTTAGAGGGGTGGGGCGGAGCCTGAGGGGACTAGGGAAAGGGACGGCTGCAGCAAGGGCAGTGGCTTGGAGAGTGACCCGGGGGTTTGGAGTGTGAATGTAGAAGGCCATACCGACGAGGAATGTGACTGCCAGACTGAGGTGTGGGTACTAAGGAATTGCCGGCGGGGGTCGTTTTATGGCCTAGCCTGAAGTTCTGCCTAGTCTGCTATCGTAGTCGTCCCTCCAGAAAACGTTCCCTCATCTCCGGGGAGAGGTGGATAAATGGACAGAAACTCTGCGGATAGTTTTGAAGATCGGGGTAGGGAGGGAAGGAAAGGCTGCCAAGGGCGCCTGGAGTCAGCAATAAGTCTGGGGAGCGGGGTTAAGAGGAGCGTCCCGGCTTGCCGCTCGATTCGGTCTTTTCCCAAACAAAAGAAAACTCCACTCCCCGCAGGGCCGCCTCCTCCCCGCCCCCCTTCGGTTCTAGCTCTGTGGGTCCCAAGTGTCTGGGGTTGGGGTGCAGGGGTAGGGGTGGAAAGAGGTCGGGCCCTCTACTACGAGGCCCGACTTTAGGGGCCCCAAGAATGACGGGGTGCCCCCAAGGATACTCACCTTCTAAAGCAGCGGCGAGAGAAGCCCAGCAGAGCAGCGCCCGGAGCTCCATGGCGCCGCCTCACTTGGTAGGACCCGATCCGAGTTTGGGGGGCCCTAGCCCCCCCACGTCTGACCCCCACCCGGGAGGGTAGACGCCGACTCCCTGCGCGGGACTCTCCGTCGGTGCCCTCAGCGCTGGCCCATGCGGGCGCGCCGGGCACCGGGCGGCGCCACCCAGGTGTGGCCCAGAGTCTCTGCCGCGCGTGCAGGCGGCCGGGCGAGCGGGCGCAGAGCGAGACGTGGCTGGAGTCGGGGTCCCTCTGGGGCCTCGGGGTATCGCCCCGGCTAGCGGAGGGTGAGCCGGCAGCTCGCGGTCTCCCGGCCCCAGGAGTGAGGCTGTTCGCGCTGCCGGGCCGAATGCGTTCCGCGCGGGCGGGGACGGTGGGAGCCCGAGCGGGGGCAGAGCGGGAGGGAGGGAGACTGCGGCACCGGGCCGGGCGGGCAGAGTTGGGGCTGGGCCGCGCTGGGACAGGGCCGGGCGGTGCCTGGCCCGGGAGGGAGGGGCGCGCGGGGGGCGGGGCAGCTCCCCCTAGCCTGGGCTCGGCGCGGGGGGCCCGGGCACTCTGATTGGAGCGCGCGCTGCTGAATAATTCATGAAGAAGCCGAGAGGGGCGCCCAGCAGAGCAGGTCGGGAAGTTGGGAGAAAGTTTGGCGAAGGGGGAGGGGCAGCGGACGAGGATCCCGGGGACCGCCCAGACGAGTACAGTGGCTGTGCGCCCAGCCCGGGCCCGAGCGTGTTGGGGCTGGGATCCCAGGACCCCGGGACCCCCGGGACAGGCCGGAACCCAGCAGGTAGGAGAAAGCTGAGAAACACACCGAGGAAACCGGCATGCGCGTAATGTGCGACACACACACACACACACACAGCCCTCTCTGACCTCGCTGAGGACCTGAGATTCCACTCGTGGATGCGCCCACCTCCACCCTAGTAGGCGCTGGGGACTGCGTTTGGGGAGAAAGAGGTAGAAGCTTTTGAGGATGGAGAGTCGCCCAGAGGACCCCAAGGCAGCAGTACCAGCTTAGGTAACCGTGGAACGAACGTTCACACAATCATCGGGGACCTAATGTGCGCGCAGCCAGGCGCAGAAAAATGTGCGGAGGAGGCGCGCACAGGGTTTCGCTGGGGAGGAGTATAGAAAAATCCACGAGGCGAGGGTAAATAAAAGGTAGGTGTGTCCGAAAGCGTGAGGGGGTCGGATAGATTTGCAAATCACCCTCCTCACTCTCACTCTCGCGTTTTGGGGGGGCTCCCCCGCTGCCCGCAGCCATGACCCAGGAGGCTGGGGCTGGGGTTGCTGCTGCTGTCTTTCCTGAGGCTGTTTCCTGTCTGGCTCCTGGGGCCCTCGGGATGGCTGGGAGGGGCCCTTCCTCTCATTGCCAACTCCCCCCCCCAATCCATCACTTAGTAGGGAGGGTCCAGGAAGGCCCTGCTCCTTCCACTAGCCCCCCTTCTACTTCTGGGCACCTATAGTATGGATCACGGGGTGGATGAAAGGGTGTGTGTATGCTGCAGGAGCCAGCCCTGCAAGAGCTGGAAGGAACGGACTTAGAGTGTAATTAAGAGCGACAGAGTCTGGAGGAACTGAGTGGCCAAAAGACTGGGAAGGAGGAATCCAAGTTGCTTGGGGGACTGCAGAGCAAGCTAACCCCCTAGAAAGGACAGCCAGGCCTGGGATGACCTCTTGTCCCAATATACTTATCTTCCTCCACAAGAGGTACTCCCCACATCCCTGCCCTTCCTCGTTCCCCTGCCTGGGTCCTGCTCCGGGGTGCAGGGGTCACTGAGGGCAGGAAACAGCCGGCTTCACTGGAGCCAGGCAGACCAGGCTGGAGCTGGGAATCCCCTCCTCCCTTCCCCATCCAGGCGGGCCTTCCCTTCTCTTAAGCAGCTTCTCACTTTGGGTTATACGCACACACCTAACCCTCCTTTTGTTGCTCTCCCTCTGTACCTGAGCCCTCAATCCTCTAGAAGTTGTGACTTCTGTCTCCTCCTGGGCTCTGCCTTTGACACCCCTGTCCCCAGATGTTTGATAACTTGAGTTTTCCCATTTAGTGAGAGGTGCAGTTCATCATGGGGGTTGGGCAGACAGGAGTCACGTGCTTGAATGAGGGAGAGACAGCAAAGCACAGAGAAATGAAGCTGGATGGAGTGAGGGGGCTGATGAGACAGAAGAGTGGAGGGTGAAACAATCCCTTAGATTGGAGCCCCTTGTTATTGACTCCTAGAGACCAAGACCCCTCGGCTAGAGAGAAGAAAGGGCCCTAGGTTAGGAAACAGCCATCTTATCCCATGTTAGGTCATTAGCCTCCACTCCCCAGACTATAACCCAATTCCTAGTATCTAGTGTATACCACTCAAAGAACCAAAGAATGAATAATGAAACCTTTATTGAGCATCTACTAACGTGCCAAGTGATCACTGTGTTAGTGTTAAGATGTGTAAACTATGGCTACTGTCCTCAAAGAGAATCTGGTAAAAATTAGGGCTGGTGGCTGGGATCAGTGGCTCACACCTATAATCCTAGCATTCTGGGAGGCCGAGGCAGGTGGATTGCCTGAGCTTAGGAGTTCAAGACCATCCTGAGCAAAAGCGAGATCTCATCTCCACAAATAGCTGGGTATTGTGGCAGGCACCTATACTTGGGAGGCTGAGGCAGGAGAATCACTTGAGCCCAAGAGTTTGAGATTGCTGTGAACTATGACACCACAGCACAGTACCAAGGGTGACAGAGTGAGACTCTGTCTCAAAAAAAAAAAAAAGAAAAAAGAAAAGAAAAGAAAAGAAAGAAAATTAGGGCCAGGCATAGTAGTGGCATATGCCTGTAATTCTAGCACTCTGGGAGGCTGAGGCAAGAGGATCACTGGAACTCAGGAGTTCAAGACCAGCCTGAGCAACACAGTGAGCGCCCCATCTCTACTAAAAACAGAAAATTTAGGCTGGGTACATTGTATCCCACCTGTAATCCTAGCACTCTGGGAAACTAAGGCAGGCGGATTGCTTAAATTTAGGAATTGGAGACCAGCCTGGGCAAAAGTGAGACCTAATCTCTACTAAAAATAGAAAAAAAAAAGTTAACTGAGTATTGTGGTGGGTGCCTATAGTCCCAGCTACGTGGGAAGCTGAAGCAGGAGAATTGCTTGAACCCAGGAGTTTGAGGTTACTGTGAGCTAGGCTGATGCCATGGCGCTCTAGCCTGGGTGACAGATTGAAACTGTCCCCAAAAAAGAAAAAAAAAAGCCAGGCACAGTGGCTCACACCTGTAATCCTAGTACTCTGGGATGCCGAGGCGGGTGGATTGCTTGAGCTCAGGAGTTCAAGACCAGATTGAGCAAAAGTGAGACCCCCATCTCTACTAAAAGTAGAAAAACTGAGGCAAGAGGATCACTTGAGCCCAAGAGTTAGAGGTTGCTGTGAGCTGTGACATCACAGCGGTCTACCAAGGGTCACAAAGTTAGACTCTGTTTCTTACACACACACACAAATAAAATCTGGTGAAAATAATTTTATACAACATCTCATGTATTATATATAATCTGGTGAAAATCTTGTGATTTCCCCTTTTTAATGGAGATGGCATCTGAGATTTTTCACTCCACTTCTCAGGAATCACCGTTGCTCTATCCTACATATGTGAGATATTTTCTCTACGGCTAAACCACCCAGATCCTCTTTCCAGGCAAGTTAATCCAGTATCCACTGAATTGCATGACACAAGTAAGCAGTGTCCCTACCTGAATCTATGCTTATTCTGCAGACCCAAGCAAATCTCAAGGCCTTCCTTTCATTATTAGAGCACTTCACTGCCCCTTACCATGTTAGGCTGTCATCCTCATTCCCTGCCCAGAGCAATACACTGCTGTCACATACTGCCTAGACAGATCTTGTGGGGAGCATCCCTGAACAGGTGGCTGAATTTCTTTTTGTTCTTCACATAGTCTTTTGCATGGTTTTAGAGTTAGGACTTTTCCGCTGTGTCATAAATAATAAACAACAAATCATCCCTTTTCTTTGTAAATTGTTGACTTTGTTACCTCTCTTCCCATATCCCACTTTCCCCCTTTCTGGGCCACCTAACCATGTCAGGTCCAAAGTTCAGGTTTACCTCAAAGTTCATGAAGTTTAAGCTTCAGCACCTCTCACTGGCCTGGCTTCTTTCACCATCCTGGTTAATGAATGCCATAAATTTAAACAGTTTTTAAGGTGAGTCACAGCATGAGAACACTTGAAATGGTCTGAAACCTTATAGGTCTATTATAAAAGGAGTTTGATAGGGGGGTTGACATTCCCAATAATCAGTTGTAAAGCGCAAAGAATTTTTTATCAACGCTCGATAATGAAAAAAACAAATTTGATTGGTTATACTAAAGACTGAGAGAAGAGAAAAATAATATTACAAAAAAATCATTATCATATGAAGAGGTGGTCAAAGAATACACATCTAAGAAAAAGATAGAAAATGAAAGTATTGGCTTGGCGCCTGTGGCTCAAGCGGCTAAGGCACCAGCCACATATACCTAAGGTGGCGGGTTCAAATCCAGCCTGGGCCCGCCAAACAACGACGGCTGCAACCAAAAAATAGCTGGGTGTTGTGGTGGGCGCCTGTGGTCCCCGCTACTTGGGAGGTTGAGGCAGGAGACTCGCTTGAGCCCAGGAGTTGGAGGTTGCTGTGAGCTGTGATGCCATAGCACTCTGCCCAGGGGGACAGCTTGAAGCTCTGTCTCAAAAAAAAAAAAAAAAGAAAGAAAGAAAATGAAAGTATTACAGAGATGTATCAGGCTTATGTAAGACAAATACTGTTATTTGTCCAAATTTACTATTTATTTATTTATTTTGTAGAGACAGAGTCTCACTTTATCAACCTCGGTAGAGTGCTATGGCATCAGAGCTCACAGCAACCTCAAACTCCTGGGCTTAGGTGATTCTCTTGCTTCAGCCTCCCCAGTAGCTGGGACTACAGGTGCCCGCCACAATGCCCAGCTATTTTTTGGTTGCAGTTTGGCCAGGGCTGGGTTTGAATCTGCCACCCTTGGTATATGGGGCCAGTGCCCTACCCACTGAGCCACAGGTGCCACTCTATTTATTTTTATTTTTTGAAATGGAGTCTCACTCTATTGCCCTAAAGAGAGTACTATGGCATCATTGTAGCTCACAGTAATCTCAAAGTCCTGGGTTCAGTCTATGCCTAGAGGCATATGCCACCATGCCCAGCTAGTATTTTCTATAGAGATGGGGGTCTCACTTTTGTTCAGGCTGGTCTCCTACTCCTAAGGTCAAGCAATCCACCTGCATTGGCCTCCTAGAGTGTTAGGATTACAGGCATGAGCCACCTTGCCTGGCCTAATATTTATATTTGTCACCTTTTAAACATTAGCCACTG